ATCCCATACTGCCTTTAGTACCCCTCTATCTAATACCCTTTTAAATAAAACCCGGATACATCACAAAAAAAAAAAAAATCTCGAACAAGTACTCATAGATATATTGCAATGAATAATCTGTTTTTTTTGTGACCTGGTATTAAAGACAGTGCGGTACAATCAATACTGATATCGATATATTATATAGAAATTAATAGTATAGCAAGTTAAATTCAGTTTTGCTAAAGGCTGTAAATTGTTAATTATAAAATTTTATATAAAACAAATAGATCTCTCAGAATGAAGTGCCTAATGTAGGAAAAATACTTGTGGAACAATCCTAAATTTTATTCCTTCAAACTCGAATTCTAACAAAAAGAACTCGCGCCTCATTAATTAACCATATTATTCCCAATATGGCTAGAACACACTTTAATTGGAATGAAATTTCTAATAAATTGTGACAAGCATTTGAAAATTTTCGCATGACGTTTAATAATGATATGACCAAATTGGCCAATCAGTTGATTCGCAAAAAAAGTTTTAGTTTTGAGTTCTTATGCTTGATTCAACATACTTAATAAATATGATTAATAACATTAGATTAAATTAATTAAATTCTAGTAATCCTTTGGATTATGATATTGAAAAGTTTATTATTGGATCTGTATAGAAAAGACCTCTTAAAAAATATATTGATATACTCGATTATGATACTTTCAAAAATCATTAGCCAGAAGTAAATTCATTGAAAACTTTCATCGTTAAAAGCCTCAAAATATATGTAGAATTCTTAAAAGCAGAATCGAATAGAGAAAATACTGACTATAACTCTATGGTTCTAAGTCGTATTAAAGAATTAGATAATATTACTATTAATTTCAAGTTTCAAGCTGCAAGTCATCTTCAATATGCTAATCAACTGAAACTTAAAGAAGAGTGAGAAAAATTAAAAAATAAAAGTCATTAATTGTACTAATGAGAATAAAGCTAGTTAAAATAATGAGAGTAAAGCTAATTAAAAAAAAAAAAATAAAAAAATAAAAAAATAAAAAAAAAAAAAAAATATATATATATATATATATATATATTTGTGTGTATGTATATATAATAATGTACTGCATATAAAAAAAATTCATTTAATAACAGTGAGATAGAATAGCATAGTTGTTACTACACAGTGTTTAAATATTATTAGAAATAAATACAAATTTCATTAAGCTATCAGACGTGGTTCAAATGCCAAATGTAAAAATTTATATAACTTATAATTTGATTTTCTTTGTAGTTATATGTTGTTTAAAAAGGGTGTAAAAATAGAAATAATGTGTAAATCATTTTATCCCAAAAATTCATGTAACAATAAAAGGCAGGTGTCTTTCTCCAAAGAAGTGTGAATACGATTTGGCAAGTATAAAAGCTTTATTTATCTGTTTGTGGGCTGGTTACAGCTCAAGTCCTTGATTCTATATGACTATTATTATAAACCTTTTCACTTTTGTGATCCAGAAAAACCCTCAAGTCAATCAGAATTCTTGGATAATATTTTTTTGGTGACCATAATTTTGACTCACTTTATTTAGCTTAAGCACATAATTGAATAATTATTTACCATTGGTTATTTTGGTCAATTCCATCATAATTAAACTGTTCTTAATAGGTATGGTAACTATGATATTACAAACTTCAGGTTATTTGGGATCTTTTGCATATTAATTAATTTTCAGGATTATAAAAGATAAGTATGCTATTTGTTGAAATTTCCTGTTTCTTATATCAGCATCTTTTCTAATACTTTTTTTTTTTTTTTTTTAAGGTGAGGTTTTGCCTTTATCTTTATTTAATAATTTGTATTGAGAATCCACTAGG